CAACTTTAACTATGAGTATACATCCACGACGTGAGGCTTGACCCCAGGGTAACTGCCATAACAGAAATGTGTGTTAGACTATAATAAAACATTTACGCAATAGTTGGCATATCGAATATTCTCCATGGTCAACGTAAATAATAAATTCTTTGCTATAAGCGTTGAAATATGACATCAAACTTGATATTCTTTCATGGATTTTGAATTTACCATACTTACAGACTTGTGTACAGATCATTCCCTGACTACCTCATTTAAAATAAAAATGACTGACATCGTTACATATTTAAATATATAATATGAATTCAATCAATTATTATGGACAATTAAATGACGCATTTTGTCTTCTATAAATGTTATTGTATTTCCAAGTTCTTGTCAAGAAAAATCAGTAGTTTACCTATACCGAAATACATTTCCCTCTAGCATAAATAATGATATGATCCTTTTTCAGAATCAAAGATCAAAACAAACTTTTCGAGCGGACATTTCAGTGCGCCATGAAAATTACAAAAAAAGTAAACATGAGCGAACAGTTACCATCGTTGTCAAATAATGCTGTTCCCACGTAATGTGACTTGTTTATCAGCGAGGCCACTGAGAGTCATTTGAAAAATAAAACTTACGTCATAAAAAATAAATTAACAGTCATTGCTAATTTACAACACATCAAATACCAACTCTCTTGCACCTACACGATCATTTAAATTATGCATGTTACAAATGCATCTCATCTCCAAGATAGAGATATACAAATCGCTTTATGGATTATTAAACGTGGTTAGCCTGAATCAAGTCTTCTGTTAGACTGAAGTACGATCTCTGAAACTGGCTTGAATGTCTATAGAGATCGAGGTGGTAAAGCTGTAAGCAATGTTTATAGAGATTGGGCAGAGGGTAAAATCGCCTGAATAGAACACTGGAACCTAGAAATATATTACGAATTATGTAAATTGTGCGAGATAATTCCGTTCACGTTCTTCGCTGCATAGCGTATAATTCAGGCCCAGAATTTGCATACACAATTTTGAGCTCGAAATACACGACGGGTAAATTCTGGTTTCTGAAAATATATAAGGAAGCATGTTTATACAGTACAACGTTAAATTCACTTGAAAATATTATTTAATGTAAGGCATTGCGAATTAGGTTATTACGTTTTCAGAATTCTATCTCAGTACCTCGTGCGAGAGTACCGTAGTACCCTAAGCTGTGACAATTATATAATACAGTAATAACATTAAGGCCAATGTGATAGTAGCGTGAGAGCGAAGTAGAGAGAGCGAGAGGAGAAGCAAGAGCGAAGAGGCAAAAATAAATATACGTACTTTCCCCGTCACATACAAAATGAGTTGAAGACCTCGGGCAGTGGGCTGACTCGTAGCCTAGGGATTAAGTTATCTATTGTACAGTTTGATTGGTTAAAACACTCATGAGAGACAAATACCCACAGTTGTGGTATTTTTTGTCAAAAACCAAAGATGCTCGCAAAACCACGTGACTGATCAAACACTTTTTTTCACAATAAACTTTGAGCGTACATGCTACATGCAAAATAGAAAGTTGATCGGTTCGAGCACTTCAGTCATTGTTTATCCGTTATTAATATTAGTGGTATTATTATTTGAACAATAATACATGATGCATCTATAAAACACACAAATGTATTTTACTGCCATGTTGTGTGAATTATAATGTTTTATTGTATGATAGCTTTTCTCTGTTCGTTATGTTTTTTCTTCCGTGTGAAAGAACCGTTCATGACTGTTGTTTCTTTAACGACTTTATTCGATTAGATCATTGTATGAAAAGCAGCTCGCAATGCATGCCAACAAACTCAGACGTGTCTGACGCATTGAACACAAATCGTCGTCGTTTTTAGTTAAATACGCATTTGAACGGTTTTCCACTAACTTCATTCGTATTCAAGTCAATGACAACACGATTGTGAATGTTATATAGATTGGAACAAACACACATTTGTTCTTACTGCGGAAACATATACGTCGTGGAAATTTGTCAGTACTGACACAGCCAATGTCATCAAATCACGGTAACACACGACCCTCGGCAGGGAACAACCAAGACGCAAATAAGTCTACATGTAAGCCCTCCGGTCACGTGACATTTTTTATGTCTTTTCGAGTTTCAAGACGGGTTGACCGTCTATAAAATAGGTTTCCTTATCTAGTTAAATATATTTTGTTTAATGGGGTTTTATCCACATAAAAAGAACTTAAAGTCGCAATATGGATGACGATATATATTGTTTAGTATTGGCGTTTAATAAACTCGTTACTGTAGACCAAATCAGATTATTATTTATCAAAAACTGAAAATGTTTTGTTTGTAGAACACACAACAGTACTGACTTGTAAGATGAAAATATCAAAATCTCTAATATGCATGCGAGTATTAGACATGCGTATTTGGGAATTTCATTGTTTCACGCAACAAATACTTATATATGCGATTTGTTTTTCTCGTTTTCTAATATATTCATTAACATACAATAACAGACACCAATATTAATACTATTTATTTTTGTCTATATTGCAAGTCAAAAGAACTTTATGATTTATTAAAAGAAAATTTAGTTTTTGAGTATCACATAAAAGTTAAATCGGGCTGTAAATTTATATTAAGTGACCACAATTTAGAATTTGAGCTTTAGCTTCGGCAAAAAATACAAACTAAAATTAATTTAAAAAAACAGAAAAATTCGTAATATTAACTTTGCAGATGCATTAACAACAACATGGGTATTAATAATGCCGACTAAACTTCTGGCCCTAATGTTGAGCGAGTAACATGGTTCAAATAAAATATTGGCGCATTTTGGTAGTCGTTTTACACAACTCAAATGATAGTCATATGATATCCTTTTCTCTGTTGGATGTGTGCTTTAATTGCGTGACGGCGCCTGTGAGATCAGTATGATACATGGGTCGTTGAAATGTCATATAGCGTTCTCTGACAGATTTTTTTTCGCTTTGGAAATAGTTTAATTCAAGTCACGAAAGCGTACCATAATAGCTGGGAATAGTTTTCATCGTCAATTCATGATAAAATTGACAGATTATATAAAAATGCCATTCATCTTCAATTGTGCGATCCTTATTCACCTTTTGTATTTACGTGTTAAAATTCTTCTTAGTTCTATGTTTGCCAGTTTTGGTGGATTCTGAAGGTCTTTTTTTATATATAAAACGGCACAATGTGTTATGTACAACTTCAATACAATCGTTTTTATTTAATAGCCCAATACTTCGCCATCAAATATTTTAAAGCTAAATTATTATCAGTGCCGTCATAATTAGAAATAAGTTTCTTTCTTGCAACAAATACATTTGTAGCTTTGCGAACTACGCTATGCATTACTCCACAGAGAGACGCAAAATAGCTGTAGTATGACATGAATCACTTACTTATTTTTATCTTCAACTGCGTTTATACAATTATTTTTAGATTTTTCAATATTAACTTTTAGCTTCATACGTTAAACTTATTAAAAGGTCACCGTAAACCTATAATTATGAAAATGAATAGCGCCAAATTATCTACAAATCAGAAATATAACATAGTATAGTGTATCGATAGGATCAGTGATAAAATATAATTGAGTTTAAATATGTAAAATATGTTGGTTTTTCACAGTAATGCATGTTGTTTTGTATGATACAAGTTTTGGTTTATAATATAGTAAGCTGTGTTCCCCCTCTCTGAAAAATAGGGTTTGAAATGTAAGATTTGTTCACATTGCGATTAGGTATATGGCCTGGGAAAGACTCTTTCATTCAGATTGTCTGTCTATTGTTCCGGCGTTATTTCGTGACCAAGTATATTCGTCCTTGATAGTTGTTCAATATATTACCAGAAGCATTCGTTCTCAATGACGAGCTTATTTGTCAAATCACCGAACAGAATCTTCTCAATCATATATGTTGGTAGGGGGCTAAGAAGAACAGATGCACCCGATTTTCGAAATGTTAATTGGTCGACCGGTTCGGCGGTTATATTGGTTTCATGGATAACCTTGTTAATGCAGTATTAATAGCATATAGGTAACCAAGTTCACAAATAAAAGCTTTAGCACTCATGACTTTTGAAGACTTGTCGGATTTACCGAAAAACAGAATGTTTGCTTATAATTCATTTTTACAGACATGGGTATTATATTTGGCCTACACTAAGTGGATTCATATTGCACGCACTCATTATGATTGCTCACTTAAGATGGTCGACATATTATAATAATCAAACAAGACAAAAAGTTTAAAAAAATCTCTTTCTCACAAACTTCTCAACCAAATGATCTGATGACATTAAATTAAACTATATATAGGCAGTGTACATTGATTGATATGGTCACGTTCTGTGTTTTGTTCATTTTAAACGATCGCAAACAGAAGGTACCCAAATGAATTCATTGATTCACAGACACACATTAGTGCATCTCTGACAGGCACGACTATGCTTATCTGAGCCAATTAAACGATACATGCAGTTTGTAGCATGGCTCTTGCTTGTACCCCGGCGAGGCTGCATGCAGCTTTATCATATGTTGTTCATAGGTGAGATTTGCTTTCTCCGTGTACGTGTACTTGTTGTAGCATAGTCACAATAGTAGATATAACAAAAGCCTCTGAGAAAGACAAAGTGGGCGACTCTTTCTGCGATGCTCTGGGGCGTGCGGATACTGAATACGTGATATGATTTAGAGATGAGTAGTGTTGCTATGACAATCGCGAAATTAGCTTGGATGATAGAGAAACCGCGTGTTGTCATTACACCCATTCAGCTGAAACCGGACGGACGAGGCGCTGTGATAGCGCCGTGTGATACCACACAGCTGCGTTATACACAGAGTAAAACATCTACGAGACTTGAGTTTGTTGTTAAGATGGCGTTTATTCTGCGATCGAAAAGATGCTTTCTATTTTTTGCTGTGCATTACTTCATCTGGAATTATTCAAGACGTCAATGCGAGAAACTTCAAAATGGGGTTGATCGTTCCTACTGGCGCCGAGGTTGTACACTCGTTTGCCTGGGAGACTGCAGCAAGTGCTACAACTATTGCGTTCGAGAAAATTGAAGCGGATCCCGCTCTTCTTCCTGGGCATACATTCAGGTGAGCGGGAAAAATGTTAATGTTTATTGTTTTACTGTTGGTATTAATAATAATTTAACTTGTATGAAAGAATTGTTTTAGACACAGCAACATGTTACTCGCATATTCATATATTCGCGTTTCGCAGTGTAGTATTTTTTGTGATATTTCGCCACTGCGATGAAATCCAGGTATGCCAATTAGCATATTGTGTTTTACAATTCATAGTAATTTACATGCACCAGCTACGTTAAGGTTTAAAATAGTCTTCGATTCTTGAATAACGTTTAACGCTGTGTTAATTTCTATTTACCGCTGTTCAGGGTAGCTCCTACCCACTAAAGAACGCTTTAATTTAATATTTCACTTATGCGTTAATGGGTAATATAACAAAATTTACCGTGGAAAGAATCTGATCAGCAGTATTGCCATATAGCTCACTGTTTATGTTAACAAAGTAGCAATATTGATATTAGCTTACATAAAAAAACTGGTACATTTGATTTATCATTATTGCATTTTTTTTAAATAACAGTGAGCGAAATTTCAATTGGGTTGATTTTTCGCTTTTGCTCACAGTATGAAAATAATTCGATTTTTAGAAATGAGCATAACCATCGTCTCATATGATATATTATTTTGTGTATGTATATAATTATGAACATATAATTTATATGTTTTGCAGTTCCACTGTGATAGATGATGAATTAGTAATCACCCAAGTAAAATTTGTATGATTTCCACCTTATCGTATTTTCCATCCCTATACTTGAAACTTGCTGTTCAATGAAACATCTTCGGTGAACCAACTCTTTCAGCAAGGCACCTCCCAAAATAGAGATTATCTTCAAATAGAGATACATTCTCCATTACTCTGCTTTAATTTAGGTTAAGCGATTTTTGGAGAATAACTTCTAAGCAGGAGACTTTTACCGCATTTTCTATTATGAAAAATTATGTTATTTTGAACAGTACGAACCCATCTAGATGCACATGTACCGCATACAACGCACTTCTTTGGGGTTTGAAAACAGTTTTGGTTTCGAATTATTGTCTCCTGACCAAGACCTATATTTGTGTATCCCGATCTGGTGAATCCTCCCAATTTGGAAAAAACGTGTGTGATTCACGTGGCATTATTTGTTACTGAGACATCAATGTGATCGCATAGTCGTACAGCCAAGCTTTGTTCTACTTCACAGACGAACCACAGGGAACACACGCCTGGGCCTTTGTACAGGATGACGGCATTGGCGTATATTGCGTAATGCATAATAAATGAGGCACCCAGTGGTTTGGCTCTACAATAAACAACCGTGTCATTAGGATTTTCAATTTACTGATTAGGTGCTGAAGGTGTTTTGAGATTCAATCCGAGCCCATTTCCCCGGGCGAAACATTACTGCTGCTACCTCCAGAAACACGTTGTTGCAAACCAGCCGTGTGGTACTGTGTAGCGGAACGCGCCTGCAGAAATCGTGACCAAAACGACCTTTCCCTTCAGCTGCGTTATATTAACTTGCAATAACCTGGGGAAAAGAACTAGAATATAATTACTGTCAGATAGGAAGACGAGCTTACGAGCAATAGAGTTCCGTAGTTCCGCACAAAAAATAATTATATATTCCGAAACTTGGCCAAAGTGTTGCACGAATAAGAACCAGCAATACCTCAAAGTATGATTAATTATACTACAGACTGACAACTGGTCTTGCTCCAATAGAATCGCTGAATATAATGTAAAGTTGAACATCTAGAATATATTCTGATATTCAAAATACGAAAAAATGTAAAATGATAAAAAGCACATTTAAAACATGGTCTTGAATATTTAAAATACGACCATGCACATTTAAAATATAATTTTGAACACCACGATGTGTAATAACGAGCATTTAAATTATATGAATGTAAACATTTGAAAGTTGACATTTATTTAAAATTGTTTGATCCCGAGGAATATTCCTTTCTCAACCAAATTAATCCACATAGTTCCATGTACTGATGAGCATTACACTACAAATACAGACCATATATATTTGAATTTCGTGTATGAAAGTATCAATTCGGAAAACGATCTTTAGATCGAATTCAATGTCACGAAGAATGGTCTGCTAAACGCACAGTGTGAAGCTCGTTCATACGTAGTGGCATTCATGATGAAAGTGTGCAAGACTGTTGTCCACTTTCAAGTGAATCGTATTTGTATTTCATAATAACATCTTTTGGTTTAGATTGAAATGACATAATTGGATAACCCAATATTTGCATTTTTACATTAGGTCGTAGTATTACTGTGTTGAATTGTGGTTATTGGTTTGATATTATGTATTGGCATGACATTTGATAATATGATGTTATTACGAGGATACTTCAAAGTATGCACGAAGACAGTACAGCGGATGTATCGACGGACGCGCAGCCGAGGTCGATGCGGCGGTGTACTGTCTGAGTGCATACTTTGAGTTATTTTCGTAATAACCGTATTATTATACATCTTTTCCTTCCAAAGATACATATTGGGAATGCTAAAATCCCCCTCCCAAAAATAGAACAGAATCAGCAAAATTTCTTTGTGTGGAGTCCGGTCAAACTGTTTGTTTTTATTATTAGGGGTTCCTTACGCGCGTAATCATTCCATATTTGGAATTTGTATTTCCTAATATGGTAGAATGAAAATACTCCGTAAAATACCGCAAAATTACGGCACGCTGTAATATATATTTATATATGGCTTCACTGAACCCGTTGAGTGTACCTATACATGGCTTCACTGGACTATTTGGTTCAATTACTTGTAGATTGCTACGGATAACGAATTATTAGTGTATCATTTTTTTCAAATAATTGCATCGTACACGCGTGACTGTGATAGGTATTGATGTATTATCATACAGTGTGGCTATGTGTAGACATCAACCGATCAAACACTGATTGTATAATATCAAAATTACAAATCATTTACTGGCAGATAGTAAATAACGCTATATTACAATATAATGCCTTATGTATTAACTTGTATGACTGTATTCTAATTTTAAGTGTAGATCAAGGCGGCTAGTTGGTTGATTGGTTGTAATAGTTTTAATGAACATGTTAATAACAATTTATGAAAACTGAAATTTTATATTGCATTCAATGTGCATGTTTGATATTAGTCTGTAATACTACGACAAATTCAATCACAATCGCGTCCACCCTACAAGGTTTCTCTTGTCTGTGTAAAATATATTTACGCCTAGCCAAGCCAAGAACTTGATCCGCCAGAGCCTCGAAGATTTTTAGTACATCCAACTCAATGAATCTTTATTAAAGATGATCTTTAAAAACGTAAACCACGTTGTATCTGAGTTAGGGAAAGTTAAGGGTCAAATATAAGTCAGTCGTGAATATTGGAGATTCATATTATGTTGTCACCAATACGCGAGACCTCGCGTCAATGTTGACAGATTTAATGTTGTCTAAGTACACACAGTTTTGTATGATCTCTACTTAGAGACATATTGCCATTTCAATTACTTAATCATCACAGTCGACGCACTGCGTTGTGTTCTATATGAGACACACGTGGTGTATACAGATCGCGCACGTAAATGGTCTTAAACAATAAATACAAAGTCGAATTAGGATTGATGTTGAGTTTGATTATTTGGAAACATTTATTCTACTATCAGATGCTATATGGACGAAAATATATATGTGTTAATATCATTGTTCAATTCTCCATACTGTAGACCAAATCATCCAGGAATATGATTTATCATAAAGCAAAAATGTTGCGATTGCAGGATACACAGCAGTATTTGTTAGATGAAAAATACGCATGTGCAGTGACTGTTATAATACGTACCAAAAAACAAAACAAAAAACAAACAGCGTACGTGCGTATTAGAGATTTTTTATGGAACAAATACTCAGTTGTGTGCTACAAGGTCACGGTGAATCATAGTCCAATGTAGTCATCAATATACAGTATCGAATAACAATATTAAAAGTGGCATGTTCTCGTTCATCTTGCATCTTTCAGCTGAATTGGTCAGAGATGAACGCAATATGCGAATATTTGAATACGTAGTACACTGTTTTTTTTATAGGAAGAATCGTGGTCGTGAAAAGAATCGAAATTACCACTGTTAGGGAATCACAACAATCATTGTCTTCTACCGTGAGTTTCACTTAAAGTAGAAAAAACAAAAACTAACCGCGGAAGAGATGCATATCATCGTATATTTACTCTATCTAAAAGTCAAATGGCAACATCATTTTATAATCCCAATGGTATTATTGCTTCAATTGATTTATTTAATGTTCTCTGGGTAGACAGATACGGGGATAATCTGAAGGTAATGAACACGGGAAATTGAATGAAGGATGTCAAGGGCGATTCTCGTCAAGGTTGAAAATACTGTTTGAAATATCATGATACAGGATACATGAATATAAAGTTTATGTATACCATATATGTTTACGTTTTCTCAAAAGCATTTGAGGTTTGTTTTCACGGCCGACATCATGTGATGTAGCACATCAGCTCACTCTTTTAAAAGTTCTTTGTCTGAAAAATGTTAAATAATTAAATATATACATTATATATTGATTGTTACTATTTGTTCAGGCGTGTTGGTACCACATTTTCTTGAAAGAATAAATTGTTAATCGTCGATTGTTATTATAGAAGGAACTTTACTGTCTGTACTGTTCAAATTAAATACAAATTATTTTTGAAATCATGGTCACAACAATATATCGTTTGTGGAGGTCACGTGATATTGCATCTTTTCATTCTGCGCTTGTCTCGTAATAATTACAGAACTAGTCCGTCAGATGTGTGTCTATTTCTCCTCAACTTGGCAGGTGAATGTTCGCTCTGAAACACAGCGATACTTTGTAGTCGCTTAGTGATTTGTGCTGTATGTACAACTGATAACCGTGCGCGATAAATCTTGCCCTCGAACGAGCCTACAAGCTATAGAGGAAATCGAAGAGAATATGATGATACTTCGTAATACGTTCTATCTTGTCGGTATCAGATTTAAGGGAACGTTCTACTCCCCGTAGAATATTGACCTGATATCTCATTCATTAGCTGTGTTACCAAATCGCACCCAAGGCAACTATTTGACTATTTGTTATTTTTTAAAACATTCTATTAACATGTTGGACTTCCGTTACTCATATTATTAACAAAGTAATTAAGACTTGCCGTAAATACGTTTTAATCGCTTCAGGCGTATTGATAATCTCTAAAGTAGACCGCTAAAATGTATAGCATAGAAATGATTTCTTAATCGAAGAGGATTAACTGTTTTAGATATTGTTATGATAGCGACTTCACGGTCGCATATTCGGTTCACACGTCATTGCACTATTGTTTAGAATCAACAACTTGCATGTTTAGCGTGGAGATTATAAACAAATATATTTCAGAAATTTGAAAAATAGATTGTTTACTTATTGTATTTAGCAGTGGCAACTTTGCAAGGCTTTAACCGTGATGCACATCCCCGGTAATCACGTGATCGTGCCAACGACTGCACCGATTGGCTGATCGCATGTTTACTCTGCCACGCCTTAGAGACTTGACTTTTATGATAGAGAGTTTGCAACCTTTTGTAAGTGAAGATAGAGAAAGGGAGTGAAATGGGAAGAGTAAAGCTGGACTATCTGTAATGAACTAATGTGTATTCATTTGGTATCTCTACGTGTAAGTGTTATCAGCCAAGCGAGACGAAGTTCCCAGATCCCCTAACCGGAAGCTCCTGTTCATAACAATATAAAGAACTTGTACCGCGCCGTGTTTGACGTTTACAGCACGTGTAAAAAACGAAAACTGAAAAGAAGTAAAAAAAAAAAATCAGAAACATTATTTGTTCATACGAAATTTGAACGCGCGCCTATGGCGACTCTGTTACTTTACCAAGCGTTACTTATACATATATTAAATATATTATGAGGTTATTACGAGGATACCTCAAAGTATGCACGAAGGCAGTACAGTTAGAGTATAGACCGACGCACAGCGGAGGTCTATGCGACGGCGTACTGTCTGAGTGCATACTTTGATGTATTCTCGTTATAACTTTATTATTATAAATCCGTTCCTTCCAAGGATACACCATGGGAATGCTGAAATTCAAAATGTTTAGAACAGAATCAGCGAACCTCTTTGTGTGGAGTGCGGTCAAACTCTGATGGCAGCCATGTTTGTTTTTAATATTAGAGGACGCTTACGCGCGTAATTATTCCATATTTGGAATTCGCATTTCCTAATATAAATTAATAAATTACAGCACGCTGTAACTTATGGCGTTACAGTGACAGATGTACATTTAAGCTGACGATCGAAATTTACTGATTGCTATTCATGTATTATTTACATAGACCTAATACACTGGTTAAATGTAATCAGTTCTACTGTAAACCTTGTAACAACAAGTGTCGTTTAGCTGCTCACCCATAGTCATGGTTCATTCGACCCTCACACACAGTAAAGGAAAGGTATAAATAAACAAATAAATTGACAGCGATAACCTCTTTATTTTTGTCTCTCTTGCAGTGTGGTATGGGTACTTGCAAACTGCAATCCCAGAATTGGAACTGGAATGGCAGTGGATCTGTATTACAAGGAACAAGTAGATTTCTTTGCCGGGGCTCCATGTTCTTTAGGTACATGCTGTTGTTATCATGCAACTATCAGAGCAAGATTTTATGTGGCTGTAACTGTACTGTACAAATGAACAACCAATTCAGTAGTTACAATATTACTAAGGCTGGGGTTGTTAAGAATTATATATGTGTGTGATGCGCAGGTGCAGTAACTAGGAGAGAAGAACCTCGCGAGATTCGTGTGCACACCACAGTCAGCTGGCGCACACGTGATAATAAAATAAACACGATATTTACTATATGGGGGCCGCCATCTTGAATGACGCATTAAACTAAATATAAGACAAGTTGTGAAACGCGTTTTTCAGATTCCTACAAATCTGGACAAAAATACCAATCTTTCACAAAAATACGGTCCGTTGGGGTTATATTAAGCCAACCGATAACAAAATTCGGCCGAAGTCGTCAGTTTTGTGTGGAAAAATCCCTTGCATACGAACACCTAATTACGCGAAGAACCTAGAACACTAAGCC